TTTCACATTATTTTAATTAAATTTTTATTTGTAATACTTTATGTAACTTCGCTAATGAATTATTCTTCCATCAAAAATTATCTCCTGTATTTATAGAATCTACAACAAATAATATCCTGAAATTTGAATATAGCTCGAGAGTGTATTTTATCGAAAAATATATTCAGAATTATCGTAATGTATCGTAATGTGTCATTCATGTTGGAATTTCCATTATTTATTCATGACACATCATTTGGGACCACTTTGAAATGCGATGCTATTTTCATGCGACTAAATATACGGCTGTTGAATCGATGACACGACATAGTACATCTGACTCTGAGAATGTTAAAATGGCACATCTCAAATAATTAAACATTTCAATATACAAAAACTGTTAAAAAATTTTTAAACAAAAAATCTCATTTAATAGTTTATTATTAAAAAGAAACTTATTTAAGAATATCTTCGACATCTTGGTAAAACATATGCAGGGTGTTTCTTAATAAGCGCGATTAATTTTACGAGATGATTCTTTGTCGAAAATTAAGGGAGGTTTTTCATATAAACATATATAATACTTCTACATCCTTGTGGAGTTACACTTCTCTAAAAATGGGGATAAAAATTAGGTTTTTATTTTTTTCTCAAATTTGGAACAAGTTAAAGAAATAAAATTAGGCGGATATTTTCTACTAATAAAAAGGTTATTTATTAGTATTTTTTTCAGCCTCCCATATTGTTATAAGGAGATGAAACTAGCAATCCCTATTCAATTTTTTATTAGAAATTTTTAATATTTAATTTTCTATTAATAATCTCCTAAATTTTCGACAAAGAATTATCTCCTAAAATGTTTCGCACTTATTAAGAAACCCGGTTGCTATTCATTATCTGTAATGTAAGAAAGAAAATAAGTGTCGAAAATATTGCGTTTAGTGAAAATAACGTAATTTCATTCGCAGCGCACGAAACACAATTTCCTGTATCTCCATTGTTCTAATACGATGTATTAATGAAACGCACGTGCGCGAGATAGAGATAGAAAGAGAAAAGAGAGACAGAGAAAATGAAATAAGATACCGAGGGATGGAATGGAGAAACAGGAAAATAGTTAAATGAGTAGCAGCAGCGATTATCATGTAACACCTCGTATCTCTTATTTACCGGAATGTCTGTTCCTTGCAATTGCGACTATCACATGCACGTCGAGAGACTCGCGCGGAAACTCTCCCCGACGCATGATTAGCGCAGGAGTTGCCATGAATAATTTTGTTTGTAAGTTAAATGAGGAACTGCCCCTTTTTATACGCGCGAGCATCCACGTGGAAGAGAAACAGACGACAAACGGAAGGAAAGAACAAAAGGCGGGCGAAATAGAATAATAAAAATTAACAAAGGAGGAAAAATGTTGCCCGGTATCCCTCGTGAAGAGAAGAATGCATTATTAATAGAGAAATGATCGTAGAGCGTTCTAAATGACAAGTAACCGAATAGTGACGAGATTGTGAAGAAAAAACTCTTAAAATAAAATTTAATGAGAAAAGCAGCGAATTTAACGAGAGAAGCGCATTAAAACAGTCCGCCAACTGTACCTAACGCGATGGGGGGCTCAACCTCACGTCCATCACTCATAATTAGCTCCCCTTTCATGAGAATTTTCGTACAATCGTAATAAACTTGTTGCTAGTGAAACGAATTTGTGTCAAGAGAGGACGAAGCCGAGGGAAAAGCAAAAAAACGAAGGATACCGATATAACGTGGGTAAGAGCGTATTCAGAGAGGGCGAGGGAAAGAAGAGGGAGAGGGGTACTTAAGGAAGACAACCGAGGCCGCACTTAAACCATTGTGCACATACATATAATTATACATATCTGCGCCGATAGCAACCGGTGAAGGTACCGGTGGAGCATCTTTTGTGCGAGATAATGAGAAGGATTCAATTAGTCTGCGGTTGGCACCTCCTTCCCGATTACAATTCAATTGCGCCAATAAAATTCCCGCAAAAAATGCTAAATACTCTGGCGCGATGTAATTCATTTTAGAATTATTAAAAATACGTGTGACAATTGTAATAATTTCCTCTTACAGACTTCGGTGTATATATTTCTTTTAAATGTGAAGAATATCACTAAAAGTTATCCTTATAAGTTTCTAATTAGAGGAAAATCTTTGAAGTTCCCCGAGTTCTTATTTTGCTGCAAAGTCCGCCAGACAAAATTTAATGACTTATGGCTGGTGCGGGCCGTAAATTACGAAACCTACGGCCAGAGGAATATGCGCTGCTCGTTTGTCGCACGTGCTGTCCTGGTGGAAAATTACGACAGAAAATAGTAAGTTCCGAGACGTCAGTGGAAATACGACCACCGACCATTAAATAATTGGTAAAAAAATAAATTTGATCTCCAAATATCATACTTATTATGCCCAAACACACGTATATAAAACTACATTTTTTTATTAAATTATGAAAACGAAGATCAGACAAAAAAAAATAGTCGCAAAAAATTCATATTCAACGAGTAAGAGAGGAGTAGTTTGATAACTATATTTATCTCTCATTATTCCCGCATATAAAATTCTCTCTTTCTATATTCCGATAGGACATTTAAAAAGGAAGAACACAATAAAGTCGGATGTTTTCGACGAAAAGGCGACGAAATTCCTTAATGTCGCGCGGCAAAGTGCGTGCAATCACGCGTAGCTTTCAGTTAGTTTGATCGTCGGAATTTAATTACGGATGGATCGGATAAAGGCAGGCGGATAACCCTCGATGGCATTAGTTGTCGGCTATACCATCTCATATCGTCAATTCAACCTCTGCTGTATTGACATTCTGCGTTCTATACATTGCAACACTGAAATCCCCCATTTTTTTAGTATTTTTTATTTTGCACGACCGAAAATACGATTGAATCACAAAAAAGTTTCTCGCGTTCGGTGTTGGACGCTTTTCAGATAACTGCGATATACAAAAATTATCTCACATGTCCGATAAATGCAAAGTAAAATGAAATAATACATTTTTTTATTTTAATCAGATTATTAAATTAATTTAAAGAATCCACAATTTTTACAGAAAATTTATTACCTCAATGTTGCTCTACAATCACAAAATGATAATTTTCGCGATAAAAAGCATTGTAATAAAAAATAAATTAAAATAAATTAAGATTAAAAAGTGTTACATTTTCGATTTTACCCTAGATGTCGTGGAAAAGGAGGAAAATGCAGTTTGATAGCGTTTATTACGCTTGGTCATGAAATTCTAATGCTCGCTTATAAATATGCTGCGTTCTTTTTTATCCGAATTAAAATTAAATCCTGCAATTATCCAACTTGCCAAACTATTTTAAATTCCTGAAATTACGCGAAATCGGACATTGCCAACCGCTAAATCTTACTACACTGGCATCGTTTCAAATACAAAATGTAGTTTTTGCGTTATTGTTCACATTTTATCTCTAAAATTACGTTTCCAAGCACAATATGTAAAAATATGTACAACTTTTTTTTAGATCCACTTTAGTCAAACAAACATTTGATTCAATTAAAAGTATGTAACTGATAAAATGTAGCACATTTTTTTTAGATATCTAAACTTTTTAATTAAAAATCTCTTTTTTAAAACGACTCGGATTACTAATCGAAAACATTCCTATCGAATTTTAAAACATTTATGGCATTCGCTTATTATATAAATAAATGTGGGACGAATAAAAGAAATATCAATTAATGATTAAGAAACAAATTTCCACTTTGGATTCTTTTAATTTTAATTTGCCGAAAGAGATAATCCGATATTTATTTAAAAAGCCGCAGGTGTGGATTGCATGTGACTGCCATTTATATCATGTATTCTCGCGTTATTATGTATTTTTTGGTTTGCTTCTATCCTTTTACGTCCCTTTTAGGTTTACCTCTCTCCTCGTTTTCGCTTCCATTTTGCCTTCGTTTTGGCAAAATACCAGAATATATCATCAGTTTGCCTTTGACGCAGTCGGAGAGAAACACAGTTTCTCATAATTTCATAATCCAGTAGACTGAATCCAGACGTGATCTGGTTGGACGTGTAGAATACAATAATATCGAAATGTTGCGAGCCAGCATAAAATAATACACGCAACATATGTGGAAATTTTCAATGCATTTAATACATGAATATCGTGTTTAAAAAGGAATTTAATTTTTGTTTGATAAATTGAAATGCATAGAAATACAATAGTGTTGTTAAGATGAAAAAGTATTTTTAACAGACGCGAGAATTTCTTATTCATCCCGTCACTTGAGGATTTTGTTAGCAGTATTTTTCAATAATCAACACGCATTTGCCGTATTATGCTCTGCTGAATGTACATTGAAATCAATTAAACTAAATTTTTTTTACTGCTGCGTCAGCGACCAATGAAGAATTTTTTCGCCCGCAGATGATGCATGAGGTTATTAACGCTCCCCTCCCCTCCCCTCCCCCTTCCCTACAGACGCCTCCATCTCGCAAACTTTCATGAGATCACAAAGTTCAAGAACCTTTTTCTACTTCTTACATCTAAGTCCTTTTTATCCAACTTATGCCACGCAGTTTACCAGGAAAATGAAACGTAAATTTTATTTTTGTGAACTGCTTTGTACATTTACATTGTCATCATTTTCATGTTTTAATAGCAACTATATTTTTATGCTTAAAATATATCAATTAATAAATTATTAATTAATTAATCAATAAAATATTAATCAAATATTTATATATTATTTTTATTAATGATTAAAATATTTAATTTTTTAATTGATTAATATATTTTATGCACATATTAAAAATTTTTAACTGCGCGATATAATAATAATTATTATAATATTTTATCACTCTTCTAAAATTTAAATAAAATGCGATTTTACATATTTATTACAAAGCTATATTTGCTTTTAATTTCTTCATATCGCTACATAAATTTTTTCTTATTATGGAAACAAAAGAAATCTAAAAGAAAAATGCTTTTTAAAAGAGTAAAATAATTACTCACCAAATATATTGCTGTCCTTTTCACGACTGGAATCGGCCAAGTTTCCTCGATATCTGTAATTAAAATCATCTGGTTAATATTTAAATAACGTAACAATTAAAAAGATATATTCAGGAAACGAGTGATATATGTACAGATTATCAAACATCTCGTCAAACGGCAATGGTACTTTGATGGAATTGATTTATAGAGATTAAAGCCAACGCATCAGAAAAGCTCTTTACGTGATTGAACACCAGAATCAATCTCATTAAACATATGCGGCGAGGATTTAGATTCAACGAACAGTGCAACCCACATCTACTAATCTGTATATGAAATCAGCCAGTCAACTTGTAAACTGATAATCAGATATCAATATATATTCACTGCTGTCAATATATTTATACATGTAGATTAATATGATAGCAAATCATATATTATTATTACAATAATAGAGAGAAACTTTATCAAATTTATTTATTTCTTGATACAAAAAAAGCAGTCTAATAAGATATATTAAAAATAATATATTGTGTCCGAAGAAAAGAAATAAAAGCTAAAATTTATATTAATTTATATTATATTAATATTGTATTAATATGATATTAATGTTATATTAATATTATATTATATTAATATATTGACATTAATATTATATTAATATCAGTCATGTTATATACAGGGTGGGGCATCTAAAACAGGACATCTGAATAACTCGGCTGCTTTCGGTGATAGAAAAAAATGCTTCAGACCACATTTGCTTGGTTTTACGAGAACTATAATCTGATTGTGAGATCAATGGTTTTTTTGTAGGTGAAAGGGTGGAGAAGCTACAAAGGTCACTTTGATCTTTAAATGGAACCGTTTACTTTTTATTGCATATTCTTGCAGCTCATCTCGAGAGCTTTCCAAAATACTATAATTAAGTTAGTTTTCATTAAGTACTTTCCGAGTTATGAGGTTTGAAATCATTTCTTAATTTTACATAAACCGTAAAATATCTTGTAAACTATTCATTTTTCGATTATCTTACCTTAATACTTTTATGTACAAAATAATGAGAGGAATCAATTGGTGTAAAGAAAATATATAGTTATTTTTAAGAAAAAATATGTAATTGTCAATTGCAAATTACATATTTTTTCTTCAAAACAACAGGTTATAGTTCTCGTAAAACCAAGCAAATGTGGTTTGAAGCATTTTTTTCTATCACCGAAAGCAGCCGAATTACTCAGGTGGCCAGTTTTAGATGCTCTGTATAATGTGCGAACTATATGTATCATTCACTCAACGATTGTCTTGGATTTAAATCCCGCATTGAATAATCTCTCTTCAAAGAGATCCGTTAGATCTATTCGAGTTATTCGTTATTGTTGGTTAGCTAAAGTTTCACAGAATTTCTCAAAGCGGCGGAAAGTTTGCACAATAGCAAAACCGGTCCTCAATGTAACTTCGAATTCGCGCCGTGACGGTTAAAAGCCGGCGCGCGCTTTGTGAGAGGCACATAATATAATAATGAGTAACTTTATGCATACACACGTTGACGCGATGCGTGTCACTTGTGCGTAATTAGATACGGGGGTATCGAGTTGCGAGCAAGTCAAGTGCGAACACGCAAGTAAATACACACATCACGGGCGAATCCAAGCGAAACGCAGGGAACCGAAATTCGCAGAAGCTGCTCCTGTACCGAAGGAGATACTGTTGGGTTTGCGGTTTCGCCTTCCCGACTGAAGCAGCTGCCAATCGCGGGGACACCGGCCTTTTTTTCCGAAGGATATTAATGAGATTACACCTGTTGTGCTTTTCACAGATTCTGATGCAACGTAATCCATTCGTTGGACCGTTAATATCGTGAATATTCTAACAATACTCTTGATGTTTTCATCTGTGTCACAATTTAATTCTTTTGCATATAAATTTAAGATGATTTTTTAGCAAATCATATTTTAGATTATGATGTTAGCTTGATGAATAAAGCATTGAATAATGTGCAAAAGTTATATAGATAAAAAAATTAAATGTTAAGTTTAAGATAAATAAAAATTAAATGTTTACTTTAAGATAAAAAAAAATATATCTAATAATATGCAGATATAGATAAATGCATTCCTGTTAATTGCATCCTTCTAATTTTGAATAATTATAAAATGTTAATGTAATAAAATAAAATAAAATAATAAAATAAAATGTTAATGTAATAAAATAAAATAAAATGTTAAATATTTTGAATAATTATAAAATGGAAAATTTTATATTGTGTATATGAATATATATAACTGTTAAATAGTTCAATATGAAAAGAAATTTAAAAAATTGAGTATTAAACTTTTTTGAAGTTTCTATAAAATTAAAATAAACGCGCAATATCATTTACTTCTAATCTCCATATTTTAATATAGCATCATATACACGTAGGAATAATTTTTTTAATAATTATACTTAATAAAGTTAGATATTAATTCAATCATCAAAGTTAATTACTTCCCGGTTCTCTGCACATGCGATTAACATAGAACTAATCGGAATTCCTGAATGGTTTCATATCCTGGATGGCTAGATTAATGGCATTCATCGCGAGATATTGACTTTGCAAGCATACATTGAAGAGTCTGAAGCATACATTCTAGAGCTTCGAACACAATTTTCGAGATTAACTTCTATGAATAAATGAGAAAACTTTCTTACACTCATTAGAAAAAAAAACCTGGCGTAAAATAATAATGTACCAGTTCGCGAAATTTTATTCCAAGTTATTTTCTACATTAATATAAATATAAATCAATCAATCAAGAGAAAAATAATCTCGAATATAAATAAAGAAAGAAACACTTGCATAGGATATGATTATAAAATAATAGAAAAATATAATAATGAGACAAGTATCTTATATAGAATCGCAGATTCCCAAGTTCAATTCATCATAATTGATGTATTCTCAATATGATGTAAAACCTCTTATCGTAAAGTGAACATGGAAAAATATCGATTTTCTCGTCTAACGCGACCTACGAGCGAGAACGAAAGGGAGGGAATAATATAGTACATATATATATATATAGGGCCGTATGACTATAAATCCACACCAATATATATCGGACATGCAGCCGGTGTTCTCGGAATACTTCCCACTAGATGGAAGATCGATGCCAGGAGATGAAGGAAATTCCTCGATGCTCGCCGTAAGCGGAATCCTGAGAGTGCTCCTCTGCAAGCGGAATATAAGTTGGCCCGCTCTCTAGTAGGCGCGGACAAATTCCTAAAAACTTTTCACGATATAGCGGCTAATAACTTGTGCACACATGCTACGCAATAAGTACATATACGTACATTGCGCCATCCAAAAAAAAGCATATAATCCCCGTGGCATGTAATAAGAAAACAATGCACAGTATTAAAAATTTTTCCATATTAAAAAATAAAATTTTAGTATTTCAGTCGAAAATATTGTCTCGGAATTATTTAATTAAAAGAAACAAATTCATTCAATATTAATATGCAGCATATATATTTTAATATGAATTTTCGATGAACGTAGTTATCGTTAGAATGGTAAAGATACAGTTATAAATTCTGAGAAAATGTGTGTACGATTCATGGCATTTATTGTATGAGGTTATTGGCATACGGTTTTACGATTTCTATTTGTTTCTCATCAGAATATATAGCTCACCGATATATGCTGCTTAAAAAGCAATTTGCGGATACAAAAAGTTTATCACAGTTAGAAAAGCGCGAAAAATCCATTTCCTAGCGATAAATACCTGAAATAGCTGGAAAATTTTTTCTGGAACGACAGAAATAAAAGAAGTAAGTCATAGTCTCTACGCGAAGTATAGAATCAGATTTTCTAATTTCGAACAGTTACAAATCAGTATCAATGGAAATATGACGAAATAAATTAGTATAGAGCTGAGATCTTCAGAATCTACTATCTTCAGAAAAATAAAATAAATTGTACTTCATTTAAAAACTCGGAAAGAAACTCCAGAAAATATACGCGTGAAAATATATGAACGAGAGTATAATAACAAACACATAAATCCAGCATGTGAATCCGAGTGTACGATATCACGTGCGAGAACGTCGCAGGAAAGATATAAACTGCCGCCTCAGTACTTTTCCGAAAGATTTTCGCTGAGAAAGAAAATATGCTGATTGCTCCCCAGTAATTGAATAAAATTTTTAAAATTTGAAATATGAAATATTAAGTTTAATATTTCACTTAAACCGTTACGTTATACACACTAAAAATACATGATATGTGTGTAAAGCTAAATTTATATTATATATTTTATATATAATATACATTTATAAATTTATATATATTATATATTTTATATATAATATACATTTATAAATTTATATATATTATATATTTTACATATTTATTAATAATTTATTTATAATAATTTATACATTCATTTAATATAAATTATCAAATAATTAAAAATAATTATTAAATAACTAAAAGTCCTGATTTTAATAGATATACAATTCTTGATTTAAACAAATTCTTGAGTTTAAACAAATATTTATGATCGTGTTGATTTATAGAAAATATCTTGGAATAAACTGAAATGCTAAATTCACGAAACGTCTTATTTTCTCCTGCGATATTTTTATTTTCCTTCGAATATTTTATGTTTTTTATTTAATTTTCTTTCTTTGATTTAACAGCCGGAATTATATGTTTAAACTATCAATAATTGTAGAATTAAAAGCTAGGATTTTTAATTATTTCTGAGTTCCTACAAAATGATACATTTTATACACATTACTAATAATTAAGATAAAATATCGTAATTAAAATAACATGAACATTCATCAGAGAATTCGATCGTATTAGATACATGTGCACATTTAAAAAAAATATTCTGTACAAACAGCTACAGACATAGATAAATCTAAACACGTTCGATCCGAATATAGCGTATACGAAAATTTTTATCGTAATACTATGTATCAATGTCGAGCGGATATCCGGCGGAATACGCGAAGAGCGAACCGGCAAATGATCCCACCGATTAATCTCCAACACCCGCGGGAAAAATTCAATTAAATTCGAATT